ATATATATATATATATATATATATATATATATATATATATATAGCTATAATCTCTGGAGCGAAAATCTGGAGTATTTACGATATTTCGACTGTCGAGGAGAAAGAGAGAGTGAGAGAGATTTCGTCTCGTTTTATTCGTGATAAACGCCTAATATTAATAAACGAAACGTTATACATATAATAGATACGTCCGCGTATATAGATCGTACACAGGGATAGGCAAGCCAGCAGTTAAGTTAAAAGTAGCACGACCATGACCGACACATCATCAAGACCAGCAAGATTTTGGACGAGTTTCAAAAGCGTGGCAACGGCGACACTTGCACGTAGATTTATTTGCGAAATAAACCAAAAAGATTGACGAAATCTACAATAAACAGACCGTGCCACGCACACGCGGCACGTGCCCACGTGCGTGGGTTCAAGGAAAAGGTTTGAAAGAAAAGGAAAAGAGAGAAAAGACTATATCCATATATATGTATAATCTGTATATGTATATAATTGGCATAACGTGTATAAATGTATAGGGAGCAGCGAACGAATATGACGGACGATCGCAAACCGATATATATTTTCTTTGAGTAAATGGTGACAATTTTCTACGAAAAATCCGCGCTATAGCCCGCGAAATATTAGAATAAACGTCGTATCGAGTCGTTGGTTACACTATTGCATCGTTTGTTTCTCCTTTGTATCGACATTTCATATACGTATGTTACATACTATGGCGTTCGCGAAAGGTAAGGCGTATAATATAAAGGTAGGGCACCGCGTAGGCGCGGCGACATTGCGACGTGCGAGTTGCAGTAGTCGCATTTACGAGTGTTACGAAATACGAACGACTCGGCGGAATGTTAAACTTGACCTACGACGAATGATGGAATCGCGTAGCAAGTATATTATAGGTATAGGTAGGTATAAGACGCGTGGACTCGTTTAGCGAGGATGTGATATATATATATTATCATTATTTTAATTCAGAAAACGTTTATGCGTTTATATGCGTCTATGCGTATGATGTAGCACGCTGCTCAACGTGGTCGAGTGGAAATTTACGTAGTGCTTTGTCACTAATTGTATATAAAGATATTCAATTTTCTTATATCGACTCCATGCAGTGCGACTTTTGCAGCACACACCGCGCTAAGAAGCCTCTCGCACGCGTTGCGAGCAGTTGTAGATTATACAAGGGGAACCTAATAACGATCCGCGATATATTGATATTCATTGTTTTCGACACCATTTTCATTTATATTTGCGAGAGAAAGAGAGAGAGAGAGAGAGAGAGAGAGAGAGAGAAGGTGGAAGATGATTAAATACTACATTTTCTTTCTCGGCCCTCTCCTATATTAGTTCTCTCGCTCCACGAATCCTTTTACCTTTCAGAAAATTTGTGAAAAATGTTTTATTGGTCAAAATATAACGGACTTTCCGCGATATCCATATACATTTGGCGCTGTCTACGCAAAGTACAATACATCGGTAGATCATTCTCGTAAAACTTGAGGAAATTCATGAGATTGTTCTCGAGTTCTTGACGATAAGCCGAGCCAGCATACCTAGATTCGATGTAACGTTGATCCTCTTCAGACATCTGCGCAAATATCGAGCTCTTGCATTCGCGTCATCATTATTATTATCATTATCATTATCCTTATCATTAGCATTATCATATTATCGAGAGCATCGATACTTAATCCTTGCTCTCGGGAGGACCATATATATATATATTTGCGGCAACGTCTTGATAAACTCGTCTCGTAGGTAAACGTACTCACCGTCTTCCATTTGGACTCGATTAGCATGCGTATGCACGCGTCGACCAAATCACACGCGTCGTAAATGTTCTGTATGCCGAAGAAATAGAATAAATAAATATCGCGACATGCACATACGATATCTGTGCAAATATAAACCTGTGCGAGAGCAACATATGAGTAGGAGCGTCATCCTCTTACCATTCGCGACAGCAAAGTAGCACGATTTTCGACGCGCAGGCAATCGAATCTGTCATGGAGAATCGCCGCGGCCCAAGATTCACGAAAGTACGCGTAGAAATCCGAGATGCATGAATTCTAATGAGAAATAAATTTATAAAAATGGCGAGAGCGCGTTAGGTACGTATAGCGTAGTATTAAGGCAGCGCAAGATATTAATTAAAATTAAGTGATATGGTAAATCCTGGAATATGATACATATATAATATAACCCTTAATGTGTATACGTGGGTCTACCGCGTCCGAGCCAAAGTGATATCTGCTCGTAACTGTAAAACTTGCAAGCCTAGAAGATATTAAATAAACGATGTTTCATGAATTTTTTTAGATTTTTTAAAATCTACTTTAAGGTAATGAAAAATAGCGTTAAATGTGACAGACCCACGACAGACACTTGGAAGATACCGAAAAAACGCATATATTTTAAGGGATGACAATATCTAGCTTTTTAATATTTCAATATTGTCGACATCCTTTGCCCGCTTACTCGAAAACGGACGTTCAATTCGTTTAACATGCTCTCGTGTTTCCCATATAAAGCGACCATGTCCTGCACGCGGAATGTCTGAAAGACAAATGTCATTACGTGGAGACATTAAATGCAATGGTGTCCCGCGAGCATGGTGTCTCAACTTATCAAGTCTCGAGACAAATCTCGCACGACACACGACATTTCTAGAGCATTATATTATTGTTGTGGATTGTTTGCTTAACTACCTTTTTGCTTACGCAGGTTACACTTTCCACAGTGTCGTACATATTCAATCGGATGCGAAAGTATCCAATTTCAGATTCGCAAGAACCGGTTACAAATGCTTGACCCTGCGCATCAGAAGAAACAACGTTAGAGAGAAAGAGAGAGCTTAGACGTATAAACTATAAGAGCCTATATACTCTCCGAGTAACAATGTCGATCCGTTTGCGTGGACCAAACACGTCGACCGACGTTAACATTAAACGTTAACGTTAACTCACGTAGTGGTTGCGACTAATCTTCGCCGTGCTACGGCAGGTTGTCTCTCCGGGTCCACGTACATGCAGGTAATAATAATCACCCGGTAAAATGCAAGCGATTACGATAGGCGCACGGAATATCGAGGGTGTCAAACACATGACCTTTTCTTTCCTCGACGTTCGCTCGGAAACTCGCTCGTCCCATTCGATCGCTTTCCGTAAAATTTGAGCGAGCTTTCGGTGCAGACGGATGGAAAGTATTGAAAAGAAACGCACGTGTTACGCAATGAGAGCTTTTGATAACAATCGACGATACTAAACATTATTTTCTTAAAAAGAGCGTGCGGCCCTCTCTTCTACAGTCTACACTAACTCTCTCTCCGATTTCCATGCTATCGTAATGTTTGTGCTGCCAAGCGTCCGCGTAAAACTTTCTGGAATATCTCGTCACGGTACCAGCGGCAAAAATAAACGGATCGTTGGTACGACACTCCGGGTCTATTACTAGCGAGCCATCGAAAATGAGACCGGCTCGACAGAACGCTGAAACGGTAAATCAGAGAATAAAGTGAAGCGAGAAATCGTTTATTTTTTACATCGACTTTTCAAACGCGACTTTAAACATATAATTGACATAATAAAATACATGCAGGCGGGTATAAATTATAAAACGATGTCTCATCTCGCATTGGATTGGAGAAACAATTTTCTTTACCTAAGAACGCATTTAAATCGATCGTTTTCTCGTAAAAGTTGAAAAGAGCGTTGCAAGTCAACTTTTTCGTTTCGCCCTCCTTTTCAATCGTGACACTCTCGATCATGAGCTTTGCATCGTCGTTCTCTATCAGAGCCCAATCGATCATGTTCCATGCGGGAAAAACTTGAATTCCGCTTTGTAAAATGGCATTCGTCACCGCTTTGTCCACCTTAGGTAGGCCACATACTACATATTACTATAAATATATATAGGTATGTATATTTTATGTGTGTATTATATATATACATATATACATATAGCTGGCTAGATAAATGGCGCAACCCCGTATATTATAGCGTGCAATCGATAATAATTAATCATTACTTCGTAATCGTGAAAGAAAGCTTGATCGTGCATCTCGCAGGACCTCAAAAAGCTCGGTTCGATCAACGTGATCCACGACGGCTTTACGCCAAGCTTGATCAAACCACCAAGTGCGCAGTAGCAATCGATATTATGTCCGTAAAGAAATATCTCTTCTGTGAGAAATTCAAAGCGACGAGTAGTGAAACAATGTATAAAATGGCAATTTAACTAATCGCTACACCTACTCCTTTGTTTGAAATCTCCCGTTAACCATCGAATCTTTCTGAAGCAGACGGAAGCTTCCGTGTCATTGTTTACGGTCAAACAATTCCATGGTATTTGGTCTTGTATCTTGTTTCCTCTTGAAAAGTAAACATATTTACATTACATATACATATAATATGTATTACTGCATTATGGATAGCAACATTTACTCTTGCTTTTGCATTTTCATTTTCTCTCGTAACGTCGAGTTCCGATACTGCAAGCCGCACGTCAAAACCAAATAATCATACGCGAAATTTCCCTGATTCATCACAGTCACGTATTTCTCTTTTCTAGCGTGAGGAAACTCGAATGAAAATACTCGTACGATGTACAGGTCAAAATTTAAGGAACTAATTAAGGATCGACTATCATGTCGTCAACGTTGCTGGATTACTGCAGTAAGTACTACTCGAGTTATAGAAATAATATAGATAAAAGAATTATATATATCTATCAAATCAATGTATGAAAGACCACCTGTTGATCGCTATCATAGTCCCGTAGACGATATTGATCCAAGTCCGTGCGGCCATGCAGCGACGATATCCCGAGTGAAACCTCCCTCGGAATGGAAGCAAACACACCTCTGCGCGACTCGTTTCGTTATCAAATGGTATACCGTGCGGTGATATCAGCGTAAAGTTTGTCAATTGCGTATAACGCTGCGATGATCTACATCAGAATTCGATATTGATACAATAGCTATGAGAAGGGGGGGATATATATATATATCCATCCGTATATCCTTTCTATCTTTGAAACGTCATCGTACATATAGGATACGTATCGTTTGGCAAGCTTAGTCGCGTTCACGCACGGATCACATCCGGTATACAGTGATCATGTATATTATAATTTAATTGATGAAAGTGTTTTACCGTACAGCGAGATACTCTGCGAATGCAATTCCGCAGTCCGATGCTCCAACGACGACGATCCTCGCGTCGATACGTACACGTGGCATCGTTGCTAGTCTCGGCGACGTCACGAATAGAGAAAATCTACCGTCATCCGCCCTTTTACCTCTTACATTATTTTCACAGTTATCAAGATTTTCCAGAATAATCGGGAATTCGTATTCAGCTTGTCGACGAGGATCAACCGGAATCATATCGTTCAGACAGGATACTAAGGGACATATCCACGTCTATATGAATAACGTACTACACTGTATTATAGGTAAGGCTACTTTCCTACCGATTAAACGGTTTAAGTTTTTATTTATGGTATATATAATAATAATAATAAACTAACAATAAGTAAACTTATAATTGTGGTGAAAATTCGATGTTCTTACTTTGTGTTAGAAGTTACTATAAAGTGTTGGAAGCTATCGCTATTGTTATTTTGCGTAGGTATAGCTTACCGCAGTGCTCTGATCCTCGTGACGAAGCCGATAAAAGATTACCGTTAACTCGCTCAAACGTGCGATCTCGCGGAAGAAGAAGCGATGATAAGCGGAAAAAATTGGCATGAGAACGAAATGCAAGAGACGTCCGTAATCATCTTGAGGAATACTCTGCACAGACACGTAATCCTCTACATGGTAATGACTCGTAACGAAATTTACCTGCCTTTCGGCGCTATAAACGTAAAATAAATGGAACACGTTCACCTTGAATATTTGAATTTCACATTTTTCATATGGTGAAAACTACGTCCACTACATCAAAATATAATACGTAATAACCACAGACCACAGTATAGCGAGTCCCAGCATCGTGTCGTTACTTTCAAAGACGAAGCAATTTAAATCGAGCCGTAAAGGATCCGTCGCAAAATCAAAATCAGCCAAGACCTCGCGTCTCGTTGGCACAGTGAACAAGAGTTTCTCTATAGCTTCTCGGTCTTGTCGTCGGGCGCGGCGACAGCTCATCTCCTCGCGAAGAACCACTCGGTGTACAATATACAGCGTCATCGGGAAATCTCGGTTACATCTCAATGGCACGCGCTGCATTTTCGTTTTGATAAATTCCATGTTTTTTACTTTCTTGTTATCGAGATGAAAAAGAGAATCGAGTATGTCTACGTCTCTAATTTTTCCCTTTTCTTACTCTATTCTACTCCTTTGTATTATCTATATTTACAAGATAATCGAAATGTTTCTCGCTATAGTCGGTTAGGTTTACAATACTTGTGCAAGAGTACCACAAAATGTTGAAGGAACTGATAGCACGGATGCGAAAAGGGGAGGAGGATCGCGCAATACTCTAAATGCGGAAAGCAATCGAAAGCAGCTTCCAGGAAATCGTAGGACCAGGGAGGCCTCGGCCTCGTTCCATCGCGCATCGCAAACATTTCCAAAACGAAGACGTTTATCTCGCCGCTATGACGGCTGTCGAGTGGCGCGTGCATCTCTTTGGGCCCATGAACAGCGGACCGAGCGTCTCCCTGCGACGCCGACGCTTCGTCGTTTCTCCATGACTTTTTCAGACCATTGTACAGCGTTAACTCGAAATTTTCGTTCAGCAGATCGACGTCGATCTTGGAATTGAGACACACGACGCCCACAGCCGAGCCGTCAGTAGGATCCTCTCCGATGATCAATCGACGACAGCTGTTCGGATGACGAATCATCTCACTGATGCAATACTCTCCATAAAGCTTCTTTAGGTGCATCACCGGGATACTCTCACCGTCACCGTCGACGATCGCTATCACGTCGTCGTGGTCCTCCTCTCTATAGCGCCATACGATGATAGATAAGATATTAAGGTAATCGAAATAATAGTGCGAAACCAAGTTGCATATAGATGTAGGAAGGAATTTCGGTGAATTTTCCGCAAGTGCGGCGATTCAAGTGTGCGCAAATCAAATCGACTTACACGACTCTTCGTATTTTCAACTTTGGACGTAATCGATATCGATCGATCAGATAGAGAAATTGCAGCGCGTCTCGCGCGGCGGTCTTGGCCAAGACTCTGGTCATGTCCCGCTCAAACACGCTCAAATTCGCTAGAGAATACAAATACGAACATATATATATATATCTGACAACTCAGACAAATCGTGAATGGACGTGTGAGAAGAATCGAGAGAAGAGAAAAGATTTCACTTGGCGTAACTCGAGGAGGTACCACGAAGATCACATATTGGCAATAGGTAGTGATGTCGAAAACTGCAGTCAATAGCTCCGCGAGGAACTCGTTCAAGTAACGCTCGTCCCACACGAGCAAGTGTACGAACATTGTGTTCCTTTCCGTGGCAGCGGGGATCCTTTTCGAAAAGTGATGCTAATCGAGTAAACTCATATACGGTCGACATTGCGTATCGTCGCGTATCGTAAAGCGACTGTCAACTTTGCTATGTTTGATATGCAAACGGAAGATTACCCGTAGATCGTTTTTAACCAGGTCAACCAATCGTACGGTGGCACGGACGGAACATTGGGGTACGTGCAGAGGCATATCCCCGAAACAATGTCGCGCCTCTCGTTATGTTGGACCACCGAGAGGCAGCAAATCTCGCTGTAAATTTTATGCAACGATACAACGGCGCGCGGGCTCTATATGGCTCTATGCGCGTATGGGTATACGAGGTAATGGTATAATATAACTCGCTACAAGTACTAGAGTCGTTCCAATTTCACATCTCCGAAAATTTCGTGAGTCGCCGGGCGTATCAGGCGTTCTAAACGTGATAGATCCGAGTGTTGGAGGCGACGCGACCCCGAGATTTTGCTAAACTGTAGCTCCTCTTTCGGCTCGCCTCGTTCGCCGAGTCGGGTTGACATCTTGAACGATTGTTGGCTAACGCCAAGTTGACTCGTGATGGACGACGGACGTGACGTGCCGTCAGTGAACTATTATTGTGACTCGAGTTGCCAGTTGCGAGCGGTTGCGAGTTGTGACTCGCGATTCTTGCCAAGTTGCCAATCGTGTTGTCGTTGTCAGTCGTGCCGTTCGGCAATTTTCAATCGATCGTAAATCGCAATCGATTCTCGGATCTCGGATAATTTTCGATTAGATTATAGCTGGCGGACGTCAGGAGTAAAGCGGGGAGCACACACTTTTGCATAACGCATAATGCGTAAGCATAAGAAAACTAATTGGTCTATTTCCTTATGCACATGTGTATGGACCCATCAATTTTCTTATGCTTACGCATTATGCGTTGTGCAGAAGTATGTGTCCGGGCCCTTCAGATACAGATAACAGAGTCGCGGGTGTCGGTGTCACGTCAGACGTACATACGTCTAAAGGCTAAACGATCGGATCGACGTTTTTTCTACAGCGGAGATATGGAGAATCCTGCATGCGCTCGATCTTATTTCATCTTCGTTATTCGGATCGATTGGTCTGCTTGGTTTTCTCACAATCAGCTTGCCCGATGCAAGCCCTGCAGCTATTATATGCTATAGACAATCGTACACGCGACTGCGATAACGGGCTTTCTTTCCTCCTTGTTAAATTCCTGCATGCGTTTTCGCACGCATATGGCGCGCGCCTAAACTTGAAATCGAATTGGCGAACCACTGTATCACTGCATAGCTAATTCAATTTTCGAAAGTTAAGTTCGAAAATTAAATTAGCCAGCGCAAAATTACTCTGGCAGAAGAGTGAGCCAACAACGGAGAAGATTCGGGTACGTACGTTTTACTAAAGAGCTTCTCCTCCTACAATTCTACGGAAATATAATAAATATCCTTTTCCTCTCGAAATATACTTTTCTCGCTGGTTGCCAAAGACGTTACCAAATCTTGTCGACCTTTCTGAGTTATTAAGATAATGATTTTGGTCATGCAACATGAGATCACGATATACGCGACCCAAAGTATCGTAGCTGATTGTGTGAGATGTATCTTTCGATTCTACGAAGACGGCAAGTTTTCGGCTATTTCTCGAATAAAGATAAACCTTGGAAACATGGCTCTTTATATTAATGTGCTCTCCCCCCCCCCTCTCTCTCTCTCTCTCTCTCTCTCTCATCGACCTAAATTAAATTTCGCTCGAAAATAGTTTGAATCGAGAAAGATCTTTACATATCGGCGTAATCTTGTTCTCTCGACGCGGTGCGACCCGAAACAACAAAGCGCGACCGTCGCGTCGCGTCGGATGATTTCATTAGTGAGAAAGTATTATAAGGAAAATCGCGCTATTCAACCGCGTTGCTACAACCAACGAACCAACTCAACCAACTGGCGCGCGTCAAGCGTCAAACGTCAAGCCACGTTGCGCAGTTTTGTGCTTCATTCAAATGGAATTCATATCTCGATATCTCTAGCAATATAGTGGATTATAGAGGACTATTTAAATTATGCGATAAACTATTCTCTTCTCGTACGTTAATTGTATCTCGACTGCACCTGCATCCTCGTCTCGTCGACCTGCAGAAAAAAAACGGTAAATGGAGAAACCGCGCTGTGACCAGCATTGATCGAATGAAAATCTTAATTGCTTCAATAAAGTCCCCTCTATCAGGATGTGCTGGATCGTCGATCAACAATTTGCGACTGAACGTCTATATGTTCTATATAATCTATATAATAAAATCTTTGAAACGATATCTATTCGATATGAATCTGCTGAATATGTCGCTTGAATTGTCTCTATACTGCACCCAGACCCCCTGCGTGTAGCCCGCGCGCGTGCGCGCGGTCGAATATATATATATTATATATGTTAAGCTCATCGTCGAGCTTAGAACGGAGTGCTTGCGTTGGTAAACGGAAAATTAAAAGTAACTTTGGCATAAAATATATGTAAAAGTTGCAGTAAATTACAACTACGCGACTACGTACCTTTCGTATACAGGTACCTCTCTGATATCTAGGGCGATTTTGAGACGCTGAGAGAATGACCGGTATAGGACTGTGTCTCGAGAGAGACTGATGGCTTATTCGAATATCGTTTTCACTTGGATGCGTTCGAATCGACCGGAGGACGAACCAACGGAGGAACGAACGAAGGAACGGAAAGGAACGCGAAAGACTGCTCACACCCGACGACGCGACGGTACGCACGCGACTGACTTGGGAGCTTGGGACTTGGACGCCTTGGACCGTAAACTTTCCGACTGACTTTCAGCTAAACGCGACGGTCGCGACGTAAAACGTATGTAAAACACAAAGCGCATAGAGTGGGAGGCTGTGAAACTGTTTTCTATACATATACATATACACATATATGTATATGTATAATTATATAAAGACAGATGCAGCTGTTTTTAAATATTGGCTACGCGATACGCGACTCTGTAATACGCGCACGGTACGGGGGGTATACGGCTACGGAGCTGATGCAAACGTTCGATAAATAATTAAACGACGATCGCGCATGGAAATCCGCTATATCGTGTATCGTGGAAACGAACCGCGTCGCCTCCTTTCCCCTTCTGCATTCTACAATATAATATAAAATATAATATATGTGTATATTTTTTTACCTTCTGGAATTTCAAAATAAGGCGTGCATATTTTATATTAATTTTCACGGATACACATTTTACCCTCTCTCAGTCAGGGTATAGCAGCGTATAGTAGTCAGGAGGACAAGTCGACCAAATTTTTCAATTTATCACAGCGTAAAATTTATCTTACAATTTTCGAGAATAAATGTTCTCATACCGTGATATACCGCGGTGAGTTCATAACGAGCCTAGACCTGACCTCTCGTGGGTCCACGGGTCTCGCCAATGGGTCCACGTGTTAATTCGTCCTTGACCCGGTATAGCTTTACTGTCGGTTATTGTTACTCTCTCATCGCGCCAAGGTACATACGACGTATAAATTTTCTACGCACGTATAGAATCAAGAATCTCACCGCGCGCACCAAGTTTCTTAATCGTAAAAAGAAAAATGAAAAATCGTTATTTTTAACTATCTTCTTCTGTGCGCTTGTTAGGAACGCTACGTCTTCGACGAAGAATAATCGATTAGGATCGTAGGATTCGTATAAAGACTGAAGAAAGAGAAATGTCCAAGTTCTAAAAAATACAATGTTTATTCAACGTAAACATGTTGTAAATTTAAATAACAGCATTCCCTAATAAACCAACATTAATCTCTTATAATAAAATAAATCGTATAAGAGTCGTTAATAATCAAATGTGCAACAAGGTAAATCGGTCATTTTTAACTATCTTATTGATCTCTTGTACGAAAAGAAATTTCCGCATATAATCTGATGTAAGGTGATGTAATATTCAATATAGAATAAGTAAATAACAAGGAATAATTCACCAAAGCCGAATCACTCGAAATTAGTGAAATAGTCATTTCGTATGCTCTTATTTCGACATTATTATACATATAGAGTGGATTAAACGTATCATCTATCATTTTCACAGAAATAAATGACCAAACTGAGATATCTTAATCTCTGTTTTCAAAAGATAGTGAAGATCCGCTTGAAACATCAGTTAATAATCGCGACGTACCCATCAAATGTACATATCGAGTACAAGTTATAGTACACAGTGCGTAAGATTAACAGATCAATGACTGCGCTCTGTATCTCTGTTTGAAATATTGAGCATATAATTGTTAAATATATTTACGAGATATATCGAACCCACATTTTTTTATTTTTCAAAAACATCAAGTCATCTTGAGATTTTGGTCTTTATAATATGTTTATTTTACGAAAGAAGAAACGATATAATGGAATTTTATTTGCACGTACACTCAATTACAGTCGATTTCTTAGTAAAGACGATAACTACTATCGCCTACTCGTAGATTTGAAAGAAAATAATTCGCTCCAGTCTTCTTTATAGTTACGTATACTCAACACGACATTTAGCTGGCACTTGAAACATGTACAACATTATACTTACAATGAATCATTATTTCAATTTAATTATAAAGAAAAGTATAATTAAAATTTTGTAAAATTCGTAAAATTAAAGTTTTAGCCACACAAATCTTTCTGTCTTCATTAAATTTTTTATATAATAAATCTTAAAATGTGCCTCTCTCCTGCCCACTGCTCTCACTCACCCTCGATAGAAAACTATGTATCTCGGTACATCGTGATTAAGAAATGGAAGCACAACATGACATGTACGTGGAAGCTTGTATACCATTGCGTCACGCCGTATACGATGATTGTAGCATAACAACGATCCAAAAATTATATTTAGCAGTAAACACCTATCGAAACGGCAAAGAGCCAAAGTGTTTAAAACTGTACGCCAAGTACTTTCTTATTACGAGATAATCGTCGCGTGTAACTGTTCTCTCGCGCGTATAACTTATTTACAAGATTTTACAAGAAATTGAAATGGAAAGACTCGATTTCTCGCACGATAATCACAAATGTATACGTTACAAATGCTTTGCGATAATAAAGTTGGAGTAATATACAAATGAGCGAAACTTTCGAGTGAGATTCCACGTTGGACGTCGGTATTTCGCGATCAAAGTTAGCGTTAAAAATATAAATCGAGTCTATCTATGTATCATATCACAAAATGCGCGTGAAAAGCCACATCATTTCACCTGCCCTCGTCCGAACGTTCGGCCATGTGCGTCTGATTATTCTGACGAGGCTGTACATTCGACGTCCGTCTAGTTTCTACACGCGTGCCGTCTTGACGGTCGTTCCTGCCGTCTTGTTGCTCAACGAGAGCCGTGGCGAGAGCCGCGCCACCGTGTTCTCTGTTTTGCACATTTTCAACTTTGTACAATATATCGTGGCAAAGAGGACATCGGTCTTGAACGTATAACCATTTTCGCAAGCATACGCCGTGGAAATAATGATTGCATTGAGTGATCTTGGCGCTTTGCATCTCCTGGTAGCAAATCGCGCAAACGTCGTCCAATCGTTCAAGTTGTTCGGCCTTTGCCTCCGGTAAAGAATTGATCTTGTTCACAGCCGTCCGTCGTTTCATAAACACGCTCCATCCAGCCTTCGCCTCGCACCAGATATTAAAGTAGGCATGTATGCACATCATGATGGCGCGAATAGCTCCACCAGACTCGAAGATCAATATCCAGAAACCGTTGAAGAACAATATAATGCCAAAAGCGAATTCCACAGTATTACCAAATGCCTTTATTATGTACACGTAATCGTCAAATTGTTCCCAGAACGCGCTCCTGTACGCGTCGATCAGAAAGAGCGAGTAAATCGCTAGCGAGACCAGCACTTTGACTATTACCTCGATGCTGAAGACCGATACAGCCAGTAGCCACGTGCTCACTGTGAAGTGGGACCAGAGGAACACGAGTAACGATAGCGGGAAGAATATTAGAAAAGCACAGACCGCCAAAGCCCGCAAGTGTCTATGTAGCGCCGGATTATGAGAGGCACTGAGCGACATCAAGAGTGGATTCACTATATTATGGACAAAGTGTAAAATCGCCGTGAACAATAGGCAGAAATTACGATACAGTCGTATTAGACGCTTCTCCCTGTCGAGACTCGTCAGTCCGGTCTGTAGGGCAAGAATGTAAAATAATATGGCGGACACCGTGCCGATGCTCTTCTCATCTTCGTCTTCCGTCAGTAGTATCCATTGGAAGAAACAGCCGATATAGTGGCAGATGAAGGAGATTATGCTGGTCATACCGAGGACGGCTGTCAATGTCTCGCACCCGTTTACCAGCAGCGTTCGGATCATAACGTAATACGTAAACGTTTCCTCGCCGTAGTGATTCCCGAGAATTTGCACCACTTGCTCTCCCATTCGCAGCATCCAAAACGTCCGAAGTACGCACGGCACGTTCAGACGCATCCATTCGGTTTCCGCGAGTGCGGTTAAACCGTAATTGATTATAAAGTTGCGTGCATGCCGGTAGCCCATGTAGATGGTTCTTAACATGGAGACTCCGTTATACCAGATGACAAATTTACACACAGCCAGCGGGATTAACGTTGCGCATACTGGTGCGTGGTACAGATATTGCACCTAGAAAAAAAAAGATATATATATATATATATCAATTACGTGTAACGTTGCCTGCTATTAAGGCAAACGACTTGATAAATACGACTACGCTACCAAGGATACACTTGGTAAGCTTACCGGTAAAGGATGGATACCCAAGATGGATGGTGACATAAAGCTCAGCACGAGAAGCTTCTGAACTATGGGATGCCTTGGGGCAAGATGTATGTAACAGAAGACGCTGGCTAGCAGACATTGCAGTATATAGTTTTGGATAATCAGAAAACCTGGACCGTTGTACAGAACGTCCGATAGATTCAAACATAATATACTGTCAAGTATGCTGGTTGCCGATTCGTGGGCACTCATGTAAGCTACAATCGCTTTCGTCGCACTAACATTTGACCAGTACGACACAAATATCACCCCTACAGATATTAGATATAGGTATACGATTACCAAATGTCTAGTACACAACATAAACGTGTATAAGGCTGCGAGAAAACCTGAAAGAAAGAAAATAGTACATGACATTATAAGACACACGTTCTTTATTCAACGTGTTGAACGCAAAACGAAAGCAACAGATTCGACATGAAAGCGATCTATTCAGAGAAAAAGCGACAGCTCTTTGGTTTTGGGTTGTTGCACGACGAAAAACACAGCTTGACCTTAAGTCGCGATAATAAACGTATCTTAGCGTGCAAAAAGTGGCAACTTAATAACGTAGCTCGGCTATAGGGTTTGTGCCTTGAAAAACACGTTCCGTTTGGTTTAGAATTTGCTGGACATATTAAGAGATCCTACTTACCTATACAACAGCATAAAAATTTGAACACAATTATCAGATAAGTCTTGTAAGCAAGATGAGTGAAATCAACGTGGTCCATTAGAAACGAGTCTGTTGTAACAGCAGAGATGGAACTAGCGATGCTCGACAAATTGGTAGTTTTAAAGCCATATTCATTGTTTTTCAGCACAATATTGTCGTTGGGTAAACCGAGGCCGATTCTAAGTAGCTCGTCGATGATAAACAGAGGTGGCACCCTCATTACAATATCAGCAAAGCTGAGGATTCTTTCCCAAGTCTCCATCTTGCTAGTGCTGTTTGAGGAAGACCGAAGACGTTTTTATATGCGCCCTGGCAATCCTGGCATCACACGTGGAAGCAACTTGCTGTTGTAGAATCGTACAATATATATAGATATATGTGCGTGTGCGTGTGTGTGTATAGTGTATAGTGCAACAATAATAAATTAATGTAATTACTACACGCTAGTCGATAAAGAAATATCTTGAAAAATAGAGGGGGAAAATAAGTAATTTTTCAAATCAAGTACTTTTCATCAATTTGATTGGAACTGCTTTGAAAATTTGTCCGCACCACAATAAGCAAATCTAACGTTTGACAGATGTATGTAGGTATACATGTATGTACTGAGGTTCAAGGTTATGATATCTGTCAAAACATTACACGTATCGCACATCGCGCCGCGGCCACGCAACAATGGTAGTACTCGTAGTCGATCTCCAATAGTTTAGTTTAGATGTTTAGAGTTTAGATTGCACAAAATTAATTTTGTCGTGGCATTAGGATCCACTTAAAGACATAGGCATGTGCATTGTGCATACCTCAAATCTCTCTATTATTACTATTATTATGATTTATGACATAAATCCTCTCATTCGCCGATTCGCGTTTGCTGAGTTCGCTGAGCTCGCTCGCTCCCGCTCCCCTCTCTTTTCCGCTCTCCTCACTCCTCACCACTCCTTTCCACGCCTCTTGGTAAACATTTCGTTAAGGTTAAACTAAAAACTAAACGATTCTACATCTACATTATCGCTCACCTCGAAAATCAAAAGGGCTGTATTATGTCTGTGTGTTATGAGTGACCAACTTGATTTCCAATTTAGATGAATTTAATATATCGATAAAAAGATAGACATGTATCTCATGACTCATTATTCCTCTGGTGACTGGTCGTCGTTGTCGGGAATGTCGGGTCTCGGGTCGTCAGACACTCGCATGTGGCAGGTGGCAGGTGGTGGCAGGGCAGGAGTGCAGGGTGCAGGACGCAGCGCAGGACCACGATAAATTTCCAAAACTGTCAAAGCAAAGGGCATAAATATACGCAATGTTACATTTAATGGATAGAAAGAAAATCGCTGCGTGTTGGCGCGTGTCGATTTTCGAATTGAATATAGGATATAGGATATATCGTGTAACGTGGTACTCCGGGTACTCGATCTCGTCGAGTGCCTCGAGGCCTCGAGTGGAGGAAACTTTGGGAGCTTTCCAGCAAGCGACACAAGCATCGTTCTATCTTTCTTTTTTGGTACTGAGTAACAAAGATAAAATGATACTTGTGTCGCTTGCTGGAAAGTTCCTGATAAGATCCGCGAATGAGGCGCGAAACGCGAATACCGACAGACATCATGACACCTAACCTAACCTCGTAAAACGATACCGCAACCGCAACCGCGTTGAAAATGAAAATCATCTGGTGATAACAAGGGCGTGGAGCAACGAGAACGCGCGCGAGCTCTCGTCGGACACCTACTCCGGATGTTGTCCTGTGCCGTGTGCCGGACGTTGAAACGATACACGACACGAATCTAATCAATCTAATGTAGGGATCATCACTCATCCTCATTCCTCATCACGCGAGTCAGAGGATCGCGCTCGGCCCTCGGCCCTCGGCGCTTCAGTTATACTCATTATACTTACCAACGGTCGACGAGGAGAGAAATTAATTTGCAGGTGACATTTCGACCATTTCGTCACTGTCTGCACTCTGCAGTGTCTGCGGCGCACGGCGCACCTGACCGCGCAATGACTCGGCAACAGTCACGAAAGTGACTCTCGCCGCGGACTCTGAAATCTGAATAACTCGAATCGACGTGGGAGTCGGGATTGTCGGGATACGCTCGAGCTCGAGGGCACCCCGGCGTATCCGTAATCTCTCGTTCCTTCGCCTCACATTTGCCTGCCTCTTTGATCGCATATCATATCGCATATCTCACAGTCCTCGCCAAGTACTTGTGTTACAGTAGCCGTTAGCCGTTATATCCGCCTTTCACTTCATTTCAATCAGCTTGTCGATTGCCCGTCATCGATCAAACGCGCCAATAAACGAAAAGGAATTATTTTTATTGATCGGGAGGAGGGAGGAGCGCGCGCGGGCGCGCGAAAAGAGAGAGAGAGAGAGAGAGCAAACATCAGGCCGATCAGGCGCCACAGTGAAACTTGACGAGCGATCGGCGGCATCGGCGCTTTTTTAGGGGGTTACGCTCTCATAACATATTTTATACAATTTTGCACAAAATCGAATCGATAGTGGTATTTTCTTTCTCTCTCTCTCTTGGAGGGTGCACGGTGCACGCGTTGCGCTCGAAGAAACGCTCGTTGCCCCACGCGCGACGTGTACTTGCCAACAAGTCCGACTGTTTGCTGTATATAAAAAATAAAAAAATCTTACATTCGGATTATATACGCTCGCGCGATTGTTAATAAAAATAGAGCCTCCAACTTTGGTGCTAACAACAACGATACGAGACAATAACGTACATACAACGGTTTTCTATTATCACATCGATGAGATAGGTCTCGCGTGCCACCAGCCAGGGCCCAGGATTCCCGTTACGATCGTCATCGTCGCGAATTAATAAAGAACAACACCGAGTTACAAGAAACGTAATAATAATACGCAATTTATTGGCTCTGGAAACAGCGCACAAGATATAGTATATCCAAAGGGTCTTTGTTTGCGATCGTAACTTAATTAAACGCTACCTAAATGAAATCGCTCGTTGTGTAAATGAGTAATGAATCGATGAGTGATGACTGATGACTGATGAATGCAGATCGATGCGGAGTATAATTAATTAAAACGACTTTTCATTATATGTATATTATAATTGTCAATTATGCAGACTTTTTTCCAAAAGAATTGTCAATGTTATATTTTAAAAATCCATTCAAATTCACGATCCACGAATTTAATCAGATCAGCCTTAGGTATAATCCCGGTCGTCGCTCTTTATCTTTTTTTAAAAAACTATCTATTCTCTCTCTCACCCCCCCCCCCCCCTGTTTTCTCACAAATCGAAAATTAAGAGATCTTCAAAACTACTCTTCCGACATATTCCAAAATGATTTGTACATACGTGAAACTTATTAACCTTGAACCTTTCGCGTATTCCCATCGATGATCGTCCAAGCACGTCGTCCAATGAAGAAGCGTTATTTTTACCATAAAAAATTACATTCCATGTGCATATATCTTTTCATTGTTTCAATTTCAATCCTGTCTCTATAAATCTACAACTTTATTCTTACATTATCACGAAGCAGTTTTTTTTTCCCACGCAGTTTTACTTTAGAAATATATTTATATGTATCATGTATGTATATATGTACGTGCATGTCTGTATATGCATATGTATATATGATACACACACACACACACACACACACACACACGTCACATTTAAAACTCACACGCAACGTGAAAAAACCAAGGGTCTGTTTTCTCTATCGCTAAACTAGTGCAGGCAGTTCAGCGATAATAAAAAACAGACCCAAAGGAACACGCTCTCCGGTCATACGTAATATGACGTCTATCTGGGTAAAAACGTCGAGTTCTATCCCTTTATAAAAATCTCTTTAGAAATATTGTAAATATGATTCACGTATGTCGTAATATACATGTGTAGATAATTATGAAATTAGAATATCGATTGCATATAGAAAGCACACAATTTAACGCGTCATCTCTAAAGCTTTCTCTGATACGTATATATCTGACGATCTGCGGATTGTTCTTACAAGACGATTCGACATTGAAAACTAATATACGAAATATTCGTATATGTATGTATCGAATCATTTTCCATTACTTTTATTCATTACTTGTGTATTATTTTCGTCGTCTGCGTATATTATATCGCATTACTTTACCGACGTGCTACTTTCCACGATACAACGGTGGATGTGCAAAGAAATGTAAATGGTAAATGGTAAATGGCAAATGGTAAAAAGATTGTAGAGGACGCGTGTGTGAGTTTTCAACATGAATATTCTGTTTCATGATTTGGATATTTATCAAAGTTACATTATGCTGGTGTACATTATTCGGCAAATATTTTATTTGTATAAACTCTGCAAGCCCAGCTTACCATCGTCACAAATGCACTTTTAGGTTTATTTTATTCATGTACGAAATTGCTGCTTATATCTGTAGGAGTATAAGAGTGTCGATAAGTTATTAAGAAAGATTAGAAAATCTGTATTCCATATCTATGCGATTTCCGTTTATCTCCCGATCGGGGCACATCTTTTTTTTTCTTTTTTAGAAAATGACGATTGATATATTTTATTATACATTGTCTTAAATCGGCGCCACTTATTGCTTGATGTATTTAGTGCAGCAACATTTGGTTTTTCCAGATATCCATAATGTAAGGAAAGATACCGGCTTATTATACTTTCTATCGTCATTTTGACTCGTATTGGCGACTGAGATAAACAATTGATTCGCGAGAGTAATAAACTAACGAGAAAATAGGCCTATCACGCACGCGCGTTTAACAAGCGTGATACCGACGTGTGTATTATAAACGGTAAATGGTAGACAAATAATGTAGACACAGGTTACTTTATCGAAAGTCGAACGCTTTCATAGTGGTAACCGTCGTCATTTCGATTCTACAAGCACAAAACTATTCGTCATTCTTATTTATTTACTTACTCCATACTCTCTTACGTCGAGGTCAGAAACGCTCGGATCGGATTATTAGTCGCAAAGCGCGTTGTAAGAGGAAAATTTGCTTCGACGACTTGATTTTCTCGCGTATTTCTTTTTCTTTTTCCGTTCGTAATTCAAGTGTCGCCCGTGCCATAATTCAAGTACAACAAATACAATAAGTAAAATTATATCGTTACAATAATTACAGATTAATCTCATTGGCATGACTGACTCCTCTCGTTTTTCTTTTTCTTTTCTATTTTTTGCTTTTTTGCTTTTTTTCACGCTATTTAGGCATATATCAATTAAGGAAAAAGACTTATAAAGTTTGTACCACATATTCGTATGACGTGTGCGTAAACAGCAGCGCGCGACTCGTAATCCGTATCCCCGCGCTCCGCTCACCCTGCCGCCTGTTTCACTGATAGGATAATCAAACACCCTGGTAGTCTCTGTGTAGCCGAGTCACATATAGACTACGCTGTGCGATGGCACAATTTTTTATAATACAAGCGCAAAAGATTACTAACCATTAGTAGTTTATATAAGTCATATATCAACTGCCAACACGAGTCTGCGAATCGATTGAATCACATATTCTGCCGAAAGCGTACGTCTCCTTTTCATCTGCGAATATATTTGAGCTAGCGAATTTATTGATAGCCTGAAGAGTTATGCGTGTGTTTCGCGTTTGCACATCTCTTTTCATACACATATGCACGCGACAAATTATGGGGTGCACAATCCTGGTATGTCTATCCTGGTGTGTGTGTGTGTGTGTGTGTGTGTGTATAGTATGTATGAATGTGAGCTGCGTGGACGGCGCTACGTACACCACTTTTCGGTCAGTCAACCACTGACAGACTAGTAGTCGACTATCGTCACTCGTACTCTCGGACACCTGTGGTTCCACTGGGAGTTTTCAGTTCAACGTGCCTAGCTCACGTCAATATATACCGTTGTATAATCTACAAGAGACAATCGGTTTACGTCGCACGTAACCACACAAATCACACGAGCAAAACTTCAATGCTAATATGGCTTGATTCTCTAGCAGTCTAGCTAATATTCAATTCAAATTATTTACGTACTTGCATACAGATATGCTAGAGTTTGTCTTGGAATAGGAAGAGATTGTTCGTAGCAGCGACAGCCACCACATTTTCAGATGGATGCCACGCAGTGTGAAGTATTTTCTTATTAAAGTCCAGGCAGTCGACGCTAATCTCATCCTTCTTGCGTTTGCCACCGGTGCATACCTACGCACGCGCGTGTAACAAACATAAGTAAATGTTTCAACTTTAAGTCGCGGCATATGCAATATGCACGGCTGGCGTACAATATGACTCTTTATGAGAATAAAGCAAGATCTCGTAAATGTACTAACCTTCCTTGGCTTCAGGAGTGTTTTCGGTTTGGCAATGTCGCGTGCTGCCTCCAAAGTAAGATCGCGTTTGGTCGTACGATCAAATACTCGGAAGAAATTGTTGTACGAGCCCGTCATAATAGCAGAGTCATTACCGCTCCAACAACATTCAAACTTGTCGAAGATACAGTCATTTTCATACAATGAACATAATTTTGATCTCAAGTATTCGTGTACCTGTTGTAACAAAAAGGTTATATTCAGACAATTATGTGACACAGTTATACGCGAATGATGATATACATCTCCTGCGATAAAGTAGAAAATATTTATCGAATGAAAAAAAAAGGTTGTTGCAGAAAATGTAGGTTTACGACAGCGGGTTACGCACATATCAAGAGTTTCATTTCTATAAAAGATGTGTGTGTGTGTGTGTGTGTGTCGCTTTCCTTAAGAATATCACAGAGCATACAAACTTACAGGATAACATTCGATTGGTTTTGTCTCCATTTGCAAGTCCCACACTTTCACGCTGAGGTAGTCTCTGCTGATCATGTATCTTCCAGAATTACTGAGCTTTACATCGCTTATGCTTGAAATAATTTCTGAGAAAAAACTCCTATTGGTTGGATCTTCAGGCTCCTCGAAGAGCTTACTGTGCTGATCGCAGAGAGCAGCAGATCTCATATCGCAAAGTCTAATAGTTCCTTTGCTACTACTGTACACCAACACGTTGCATTCCGCAGGATGAAATTCCGCCGCAGTTATGACTTCCGTTAACTCTTCCATATTAGTTGGCTTAATGTCTACTATATCTGTATGCTACGGTTAGGAAAATTATATATTTCCTAATATTATATAAGCTATAAGCTGACAAACTAATATTCTGGAATATTGCAGAAAATATCATCCAATGTAAGAAATATTGATTCATGCACGATTCATAAAGAAAAGAAAGGATACTAAAACTCTGGTCAGTTATCTCAAGGTGCCAAAGATTAATTCTAAGATCATCAGCACTGAGGTATGTCTCTTGATCACTGTTGACACTTATACTGTTTATGTGATAGGTGTGCGCATTGGCAAATATCCTCCTTGGTGATGCCTCTACCATCAACTCCATTGGTTTTATGGTTGGCACCTATGTAACACACGCGGTAATACAATAAAAAAAAGCGTATCAAACAAAATTTTATACACGTTGTGTACTACTCTTCTCAAAATAGATGACACACGTAAACTTTTATCGTCGCGCGTTTGATAATAGTAAGGTAAATCCAGAATATAAATAAATCAAGTATACAACCCAGAATCCCTTACCCTCAAGGCAGTGATGCAGGCAGGATCGCGTATCGTGCCATTCTCCTCTTTCGTATTATACCCCTCCACTCTTTTATCTCTCTCACTAACTTTCCACAACTTGATTGTTTTATCGTTCGTGGAGAGTAAAAAGTGAGCAGGGTTTTTTCTTTTTAGCCACCTAATTTTATTAATTTTTTCTTCTATCTCTAGTGATTTTAGGTAATCGAACTCAGGTTCGTGGCTCTGGAAAGTGCTATACACATTGTATTCGCCTCTTCGTGGTATACTGTTTTTACTCTGTGCAAACAATGTTATCATTTTCATAATTTATTACTTTAACAACACGGGTATCTTAACGTTAATACTAGTTGATAGATTCAGTTGTAACAATCCAAGTATCACGCTTGAAAGTTTATAACTTATAACCATCTACATCTATAATCTTATAATGCTCATCTAAGCAATCTTGATCAATGTCCATCGTGTAAGCTCAAACGGCTTACGTCTTTAATAGACTCAGTGAAGAGCCGTTTGTGGCCCAATAGAAGATCAGACAGATACCAGATTATTAAATGTTACATAAGCCTGCCTTTGTGTGTAAAGATGGTAGAAACAGTCAGATCTCTAACATTGATGCACGGCCGCGTCGCACGTGATATCGCGAATGCGTCTTACAACAAAATAGAAAGTCTTGTAAATATGTAACGTGTATTTTCTTCTTCTATACATCAAACGTCATCGATGGAACGTATCAGAGTTGAGACTCTAACATGACGCTCCAAATATACGTGACTCGCGTAAGATGCGTATCGTCACGTGTCGTTATACGTGTATCATAGGATGTATTACGTCGTCACAAAAAAAAGGTAGCAACATGTGTGCAAGACATACGTATTAAGAGTGACACGCGGATTGTTTGGCTAATCATATTTTAAACAGAACGTTGTCCATCTTTTAAATCGTATAATTGCAACTGCACTTACAATGGGGTCTCTTTGAAAAATGACAACGCGTCCACCCTTGTCTCCTGTCGCGAGGAGATCGCCATCGTGATTAAATTCAACGCATGAGATTATGTCAGCTGCAATAAGAAAAAAAAAACGTAACACTCATATTTATTATACAAATATAATTTTGTACAGTATATGACAAAACTTGTGAAAGAATCTTGACGTGAGTCAAGAATACATTAATCTATATCTGTATTGTAATGCAAACTAAAAGAATGAATTTGTGTGCGCTACGCGAGATAAATTTTGAATCAGAATCTCGATACGCATGTGCAAAGCCGTGATTCGCGACTAGTTGTTTGTTTTATTTTGGTATGCTGGTAAACCGATAAGATAAAAGACAAGATGTTTCTCTCTCTGGTGAAACTTGCCTTCCGTAACGTCATCTTCTAAGGTCCCCTTCACTTGTGAGAAGCACCACTGTATGTCACCATTGCCTGTAATATAATATCGTATAATAGTGATTTTAAAACGAAATATCTCTCTCCTGTTGCTCATTTGTCTCAGATTGACATGATAACTTGGCGCGTGCGCGAATGATATAAGTATAATAAAAATTACTTTGGAATACGCGATCACCTTTTGTGTCTTAATCAGAGAACGCAGTGCGTTTTAGTCTTTGTCAATAGCAACTTTCCAGTCATAACAGATAAACGAAAAGAAATGGCACAATATACATTTATACGTACGTCTTTATTTTATTAAGTAAGATCCGCGTAAGTCTAAGAAAAAATTTAAGATCAAATGCCTGCATACGGAGAACAAGAGCCATAGATGGTGGAATGTGTATAAACATTCGATTTATACAATCTGTATAGAAGCTCTGTAAAGAAGCCCAGAGTAGCACAAGTGACGCACGTTGTTTAGAAATAGTAAATTTATGTGGAAATAACTTGGATGGCTCTCCCTGATGTAGCATACAGAGTTGCACTTCCAATACGGAAATGAGATATATCTCCACACAATGGCAGGGAATGGAGAAAAGTACGTTGTTATTTCGCAAAGCTTTGGATCAAATAGAAAAAAATTATGTGGGAGAGAGAGAAGCTGGGGTTCGCGCGCATATCAAGTTGAGAGGAGTAAAGCGAAATGATGGCCATCCTAGGGTACTACTGCTATGCACCTGCGGGATGAAGCAAAAGAAAATGCATGCAGTAACGCCAGTAACGCTTCCTACGCGCCGATGACAAAGGTTTTGCTGCGTTACTTTGAACCTTTGAACTGAAAGGCAGACAAGAGTAAGAGTGTGTCTGCAAACAAGAGAGCGAGTAAAGAAATCATCTCTGTTGGAAAATAGTTGCGCGTGGCTTGTTGGAGTCACTTCGGTCACTTGGAAAACACCGTACGACTTACGAGCGGTAGAAGACGGACTGTGCGATCGAGAGCGATAGAGAGCGAAGAGAAGCGAAGAGGGGACACGGTGAAGATGGCCGGCGCAAAGTCCTCCTGCGACCTGCGAAGGTCGCGCGAGACGTGACACGCGTGCGGATTGCGGAGGATGAGCGGAACAGATGAGGGGAAGAGAGGTAAAAGTGAGCCTACTTGAAGTTTCGGCGTAATCCATCGTGTTTCTAGGCCGCCGCCGCCGTTGCCGCCACCGCCACCGCCGCCACCACCACCGCCGCCGCCGTTGCCGTTGCCGCCGCCGTCGCCACCGCTGTTGTCGCCGTCGCCGGCGACGGGCACATAGGTAGCTGCCCCCCCACGCACCAGGGAGAATCCGGAGTGCGGGCGCGAAGGATGCGCTATTACGCGAAGAGAGACGTTCAGACCGAGAGGACTCGCGTCGCGATTATACCCGCGTCCCTAATCTGGGTCAAGGTTCGCCTCGCCGCGGCGCGGGCGAGGAGACGAGCTGCACAGCAGGAAGCAGGAGCAGGAGCAGGAGCAGCGCGAAACGTCGTAGCCGTCGCTGGCGCGTCGTTGGCGGCGCGCGGACACGTATATGCGCCGGCTTATTAAGAGCCACGGTAGTTGGAGCACTACTTACCGGCCATCTCGACACGACACACGAGGGGCAATACACGCAAGCGGAGAGCGAGAGCGAAGAGAGGAGAGCGTTCACGCGCTAGTTTACTCCCGATTTACGGGATCCACGATCCACGAGCGTACGCGCGCGCTCACTCTCGGACAGGCGCGGGCGCGTGTGAGCCACCACACGACCACACCACACGACCACACCACGCCACGCCGGCGACCACTCGCACTCGACCAGGCGACTGCAGGCGACTGGCGAGTGGCGACTGGCGACGAGATAGTTCGCTACGCGAGAGAAACACGCGACTGATCCAGACCGTGCGCCACCGATCCTCTGTCACATATTTTCGGCCAAGCACCGTGCCATAAAGCGCGCTCTCTCTCGAGTCTCGAGTCTCGACGTAACGCGCGGCTGCTCTCAATGGCGGAAGTTCACAGGCGCATAACCGCACAACGCGACTATGGCGTGACGTCACTGCGCAGCCAGAGCCACAGCCAACTGAGCCAACAGCCAGGTCTCGCCGTTCGCCGTCTCGCTACTCGCGCGCGCGCTACCTCCGCTCCGCGGTAACCACCATCTTTACAGTTACACGCGGTGGCGGTGGCCGCGGTGCGCGGTGCTCGACGACGCGCGGCGCGGAGTCTGCGCGAACGTGCCGCCGAGAATAGACGAGAACTGACGAAGATCGACGAGGATCGACGAGGATAGCCGAGAAGCCGCGAATCGCCGCTACGCGGCAAGGCGTCAAGCGTCAAGGAGGCTAGGCGGCAACTTTGACGAGTTTCAGTTTGAGGACGAGCCAGGCGCGTTACTCTTGTATCTTGTAATTGTATCGGAGATGTTTCTTCTCTTCCCCTTTTCTCTTCCAATAGTTCCAATACACACGTATCGTTCACGATCGGCCAACGCCGATCGCCAACGGTATATTTGGATAGCAAACAACCCAAAAAATGTAAAAGCGTTTCGGCAGCAGATAATCCAGATAATCCAGATATAAGACCCGCAAAGATACCAGGTGCCCTCGAGATCGAGATATGTAATAGGTACATACACACAGTACTGCACAGTCGTTATTTCGTTGCTTACGTTAGACAGCTCTGCCTCTCGAGAAAAAGACAGTTATTCCTTTTCGTCTATAGTCTATATCAAATTTAATAACGTGCAGTAATAACAAGAGCATTGCTCACATTGACGTTTACGTTTACATTTACGTTAAAGACAGTAAAAATGTTTTTGTTATCTTGGAAAGTTGTTTCTTCTTTTTTCCCCAAAAAAGTTTCGATATCTTTGACCAGAACGTGTTTTACATTCCATGTTTTTTCGATCGTACAGGTACTTGATAAAATGTGATCGGGGCCAAGAGGCGAGTGGCTCCAAACATGGCTCTTTAATCGCGAGCGACCTGTCTGCGTATAACAACATAGCTGCGAAATCCCGCGAAAACAGAGAGATCACTTGGCAAAAGCGTGTTACGTAGATCGAGCGCGACCTAGCACACGGCATCAGCTATAATAGCTGTGCTAGGGCATACCCGCGACTCGACGCGGATATATGTTTGCCGTGATATTTGTTAGTACACTGCTATTCCAAGGAGAGACGCAGAGAGAGGTCATCTCACGACCCAAGAAGAAATTATAAGAGATATAAGAGCTTTCGCTCTCGATGTTGTAGAATTTACCTAAGAGCTCCGTTAATTTGTCATGTAACTCCTCGAGAGAAGAAAACAGAGGCGACGTCGTACTCCCTCGCGAGTGCGCCAAGGTCCCGGATCCAAAGGCACGGATTTCCGACTGATCCATTTTCCAACATCCGAAATTAGCTCGAAAGGCTAATCATCGTTTTCGATTAATCCGCAGAAATAATCCAGAGAGTGGCCGAAAGCTCACCGCTCAACTAATCGGCGCGACGACTCACGTCGGCAACTTGACTTATCACGTTGACAGAAAGAGACGAGACGAGACGAGACGCGACGCGACGCGACGCTCGAGAGACTATCTCAAAGTGGTACCAAGTACGTGAAGCTAGGACGAGCGACGAAGCTCGCTTTGCCAAACGTATTAGAGTCACTACGTTAATACGTTTGTACTAACGAGATTGCATCTCTACTAAAATTTCAACACCCGCGTACCGCGATAACAAATCTCTGATGTCTAAAACAATGTAATTCGAAAGATTCCAAGTATTTGGACACGACTGTCGTAAGGACAGACGTTTCCATACTTTCCGTGCGCTAGGCTCCCAAGGATGTATTGTATGTAATACATATAAGTAGGTGATCTGTGAGTTGCGCTTACCCGCGAGCCGCGAGTGAATTGCACGCCAGTCATCTCGTTTCGGTACTCACGGAAGTAAGTGTGGTCGGCGCAAACGGCCGCGGCGTTCGTGTTCTTCTCTTCCTTCCGCTTATTACGCGTTACCACGTAACGGACCATATTTTCGTTCGAATAGACAGCGACAGCGCTTCTTCCAACACGCACACGATCTAGCGAATACATCCTCGCGTGGCTCGCGTATCAACGGCAACCTTACCTCACCTTACCTTACCTTGACGAGTTTACCTCGTCGCAACGCGACAACCGCGACACCAGAGTATTTCCCGCACACAACGACGTTCTAACGAATTGTGAACAATTTCGAAATCTTTGCTCCTTCTCGCACGCAATGTCGATTCCGGGACAAGTGTTTACGCCGCCAAATATAAAATCTCAAAGTTTTATTGCTTCTTTTATTAACTTAAAAAAGATTTCGTAAAAAGACATATACATAAGTATATCAGGCACGTACGCTACGATACACGGCAAATGATTTGTGAAACGAAAGCTGATAAAAGCCAGTAACGAAGGCAGAAAAAGAAGTAAGAATTAAGAATAAATTACATTCTTAAATCGAGTAGAAACAATCTGTTCAATAGTTAAATTGAAGAAGGATGTTGAGTACTTGCTGTACATATGTAAGCGATCGATTTAAAATTTTCTATATATACGCGCATAAAGTATAACGACGTGCGGTTCTTCGGGAGGACGACGCGCGACGTGTCTTTGTAGTGAAAAAAGATGTGAAAAGAGAAAGCTCCAAATTATCTCGAAGCAAGCATATACCTATAGATTAGACACGTAATAAAATCCCATTATTATTTAATGTTGAAAAACCTTGATGGATACGTGCAGGGTGACAGGAATGTAATACAGGTTCGCTCGAGTAAAAGCCAACTCGACTCGAAGGAGTCGAAAAGGTGGAACGCTGACGTCGTTCGATTAAAGCGCAATGTACGTTCTCTGATAAAGAAATCAAGTAGCGGAAGAACATTCCGAACTGTGACTATTGTGCGATAGATACAACAATTTCCACGTACGCATTTTTCACACGTTTACGCGTGATAGACAAACAATTAAGTTTCTTATGTGCGGAGCTTATCTCAAAGTGCTACTCTGGATTATCGTAACTTGCCACAAAGTACCGATTCTTGTATCGATCGCTTATCCAGAGTCTATATACTGATTAAAATTCTGGAATAAGATCAAAATCACCATATCGTGAATTTTGCAATTAGGATTTTCCGTTGAAAAATTTCAAAATTCTACGTAAGTACATATTTGATTCTATAATATACGTTTATTTTACTTTTATCCATTAGGCGCGACACGAAACGGCGTAACTGGGGTAACCAAAGCGCTTACACACGTGGATAGGCGCGAGGACAGACCAGAGTTTAAAAGTTTGTCGCGTCGCTTCGCGTCCGCGCGAAAAATATACGTGCCACGCGCTTCAAGTTGAAACTATAAGTAAACATCGAGTCCTGTACCCTGTACTGAGACGCGCGACGTACGACACCGATGACGATTCGACAAATTTAGAAAGGAGATATTCCATCGAGGGAAAGGGAAGGAACGATATTCCTTCCTAACGAATAACACGTCTTGGTATTTCAGTCAATTTAAGTCAATCAGAAAAAAATTGGAGTTTTGCGCGTTTCAAGAAACGTACGTCTGAAGAGACGATGAGACGGTAGGGGCAGACCGGTCAGACTAATACTCATTGTCATTACTCACCGGCACGTTTGTTGACGGCGGTGTTGATGATGGAACCGAGTTTCGTGAGGCTGGACTGCCTCATGACGTTGGAGGGACTCTTCATCCGTTTGGACAGTGGTACCGGAAGCGGGGCGGTCTTGGCCCGTGCCAGGATGGCACCGCCGTTCCGGCAGTTGCCGATTGGATTCGAGCCGGGGGACCGCTGGGGCGGAGCCCCCCATAGACCCACCACCCCGGCGTGACGCGTGGTGACACCTCGCTAACCTCCTCAGCTTCCTGCCAGCTGTTATTCTCGCGGTCAGCGTCAGCCTTAGCTTCGTCCACTTTTGTCGCTTCGTCGCCGCTGGAAAACAAAATCTCTCTCTGTGTGTGTGTGTCTCTTGTCTATACGTTCCCTTTCTCTAAATCTAAAGTCTAGTCGTTCGGGCGATCGATCGTCAGGCGACTCAGACGATTCCTTCCCGTCTCTCGGGGTTTTTTCCCCTCTTCTCGTGTTCCCTCTTTATTCACGTTTTAAGTTTTACGTTTTAGATCTCACTCGATTTTTATCGCGTATCGTGCTTTAATCGCGACTGATTTGTAAGACCGTAAAGTCGATATCCATCTTCCCCATTGCACACTTTCCTAAACCTAAACCTAAACAACGCGACTCGCTGTGACTCGCTTGTGGCAAGCTGTTTTACAAGCTGTTTAACCGTACTCGCACGATTATACGTTTCATAAATGCGTGCTTGATAAAAGCCTGTTGTATAAACATTCAAGTATTCGTGTAATACTCTTAAACGCGTCAATATCTCGTGTAGGACATTAATAAGACACGATCCAGACACGTTACAGAACACAAAACCCTGGTTGGTTGTGTGTTATCGAGTAATCCAGTAATCCAGTAATCCAGCGTACGGATAAGTAAGACGTGATGGACCTTGGGTTAAGTCTGAGGACTGAAGGGCCACATGCGATTCGCAATTGTCGCAAGTTCGAACTGTGTGCGAGTGGTGCGAGACGCACACATACTCGCGAGTGCTTATTTAATCGCGACTCATTTAATTCGACACATTGCATCGCGACTACGTAGAGTACCTCGTAGAGACGTAGCTAATAATAAGAACGCTCGTTCATTTATTCTCACTCAAAGATCGCTTCGTCTTTATCTGAAACTTATATATTTTATACACGTCACCGTCACATAAAGATCTCGAAAGCTATATGTAACTCTGTAACTTGATAATATCAAAAAATATCAAAAAATATGGCACGCGCGACATACATTCGACGTGCATTCAACGTGCGCTAATCGCGTTGCAAACATACATGTTGCAGTCAATTTCGCGCGAGATATTTCGCAATTATGGTTCTTAACGTTTAATGATACGTCTCAATATCTGCAATCACGTTGAACGTTGACAAGTGGTAAATAACGATAATGAAAAGGGAATGATTATCCAAGTCGTACATAGGTATATACATTACACATACAAACATATGTGCATACAGTACGTATATTATTTACGGAAGATCCGGCGCCGCAATGTTAAATTGGTGTAAGTCTTATAAGTTTATGACTCGTGAGAGTTTGCCATCGGCCAAAACTCTTTTCGTCCCGAATCCCGAATAACGTGCAGCTGTATCCTAATGGAAATAACAAATAACAAATGGATCCGAATGATCGCGAATCGCGATGTTAAAACGATTGAAAATACTGAAAATTAATATTGTTTTATTTTCATAATTACCTAAATCTAAATTTTAGCTGATATAGTTACATATAGTGCAAAAGTAAAACGCCATTTGCGAAAAGAGACAAGGCTGGATGTTTAACGCTAAATCTCTACTACAACGGCGAATCTCTTACCTAACGATTCAAATGGTAAGGTCACTATATATATATGAACTAATTTGCGAACGGATCATACTCGCGCGGCACGCTCCATATCGTCATTCTCCATTTGAGCAATGGATAGAAATAGAGATTATCGCGACGATCCTTGTAAGACAAAGGAAGCTCGAATAATATGATTAAATTAAAGTAAATTTCGGCGCAATTATCGAATAATTTACCTTATTCAACTTTTCACTCTTCTGCGGATTTTGATATTGAAAATATATGACGTTAGTAACTTTAAAATATTGTCAGTCCCAAATTTACTTGAGAAATTTCGGCGTTTAACTCGAAAAAATAATCCGACAGATCTGACATCAGATCCGTCGGACGGGTCAAGTACGACCAACGACCACAGAGTCTGCGCAACTTAATATGTATATGATAAGCTATTATATATTAGAACAAATTAGATATGTGTTAAGGTTAACAAAGTCCACGCGACTATGGATCTCTGATTCATGATATTCACGGCGAAAAAAGGGTATAATCTCGTAGACGTAGACGGATGAATTAGTTTGCCGAGCCGAGCCGACGCGACGCGACGCGAAGACTGGAATCGTTGGCGCCGGGCCAGAGAATTTTCCGGCTGGATCTTATGCCCAAAAATATCTTTCATTCGCGTACATTTCCAGCGAGTAATCGCACGCGCCGCAAAAATTTGTGTCTTATTGAAATGGTAATGATCCGAGGAGATGAAATAGCCAATAGGGAATAAAGGGGAAAAAAGTCGCGCGAAAAAGCAGGTATGTTGTAGGCAGGCAGGCAGGCAAGCAAGCAGAGGTGAAATCGCCGTTAAGCGAATACCATTGATCCCGATAGAAAATACCCGATTAGAAAAAAACAAATGATATTAAGAAATAACTGCTGCATCGGCATCGTGTGTGTAGCGTGTAGGACGTAGGAAACAGGCTTGTGCTTGCACAAAAAAAGAGCAAAAGAGGCAACACGGCGCATCTCTATATGATCTTTCTTATTACGTCTGCGAGGGTTATTATATCAATTATTGTATAATTGTATCATGTATACTTTTTCAAATTATAATCCATCCCATATTTCGTAAAAGCTGCGTCAACTGTCGCCACAGTCGTAAGCTTTCTCCGACATCTTCGTCGTAGCTCGTATATTCGAGGCTTGCCAGCAATTTTCATTTATTAAAATAAAACTACCCATTCCACATCGCGTTCCTAATTTTCATTCCTAAAAGTTATCCTACATTATTATTAGTTTTGTGTGAAGCGCGCGCAGGACCGAAACATTAGATATTATTATACGATAGGACGAAAATATATTTCAGCCAAATCTGACCAAATCGTTACAAATTAATGTACCGATGTAGTGATATTATTATAAATAATCACGGGAATCATATGCGATATGTTATGGCATCGATGAAAAACGAAAAAATTTTTACGATAGATTTTACGGGATTGAGAAATAGAGTATTGAAGAAATATTGGAAAAAAAAGTAAATTTACATACATATCAGTAATAGTAGGCTAATGTTGATGATGTCGAGGAAAGTGCTAGAAAAGCTTACAATTAGGTAGTAGGTCATATCGATGAACCCCTATAACTGCCTGCTGCTTTTGTAAGACTTCGCAGTTGCAGCTTTACTTTATTTACCCGAAGTATTGTACATAAAGAGAAAAATGAATTTACGAGAAATGCAACAAATGCATATACATATACTCGTAACGACGAATCCATAAACGAGTCACGATATTTCGCCAATACCGTATCTCGGCGTAGCGTAGAGTGTTGGCCCCGTAGGATAGTAATTTCAAAGCGGAATGAAAGCAGAACTCGACAGAGACGCTTCCTCAAACTATAGAGACATGCAGGAAGAGCAAAGAGAGAAAAAGATAGTCGCGGATATCTCTCGATAAATATCCTTTTTGCTTCCTTCGGCTATAAGTGCAAAATATGTGTTTTGTCGAGTAAACGTAATCGCGTTAGAAAATTCCATATAAATGTGCAATGCAATCCGCATTTATTATAATTATCTTACAAATAAAATGTCGCTTCATTATTGCCCTAAAAACATGATTAAACACGCACGTACGCACGCACGCACACGCACACACACAAAATAGCATTACACGTATCGTCGAGCAAAGAGAGAGAGAGAGAGAGAGAGAGAGCTCCATCCATCAGCGTTAGAAAGTACGTCGCGTTAACATTAATAGCCTATTAAAAATGTCCATCGGGATGCCGTTAATAGGTAGCCCTCATCAGAAAATATAACGTTGCAACGCAAATAGCCTATCCTAGCTATCGTATATTGAAATAATTGGCTCGGAAAGCGAACGATCCTGAGAATCCTTCGCACGTCGCCGTCGATGGAGCCTTGATCCTTCCGGGGAGCCCGCACCGAAGTAATCGCGAGTGATCTCTGTTTGCAAGCACCTGCGCTCTTTCTTGCAACTATACCTGCCGCTCGGATGGGTATTATAATATAAGGATGGCTTTTATTTTTCGGCTGATATCGCGGCTAGCATCCTGCGTACATATTAAATGCTGAGAGATGCACCTGCAACGCTGCAACGTCGTTGACAGACGAACCGACCCGACGCCGCGACGCGACGCCGAACGCCGACGTAGTCACTCTACGCGATACCGTTGACCTAAATAGTTGAGATAGTCGATAGCACTTGGACTAGCAATGTCCCGCTTCTTCTTTTATACCGAATTGCTCGTTTAAAGTTCATATCTTCCAGAGGCATGTACTTGCCGACGAATTTAGAGCAAGAAGCGTATCATATTATGTAATAAAAGAGCTATGTATTTCAAGGCACGAGCCATCGTGCACGACTCTGGTATATAGAGCTATACAGAGTAACAACGTTTCAACGCTATCAACCAACTAATTGTGACGGAATATATTATAGTAATTGTCGCTTGACAATTATTGTACTTTGCGTGGATAATATGGTAATACAATGGATATGTAATAAAGCGAGCGTGTAATAACTGGATTGCAAGATGCAACTGCACGAAATCGCAGTGTTATTGTGTATATAGAAGAATCAAAACTATGTACGTATATAATACAAACGCTTCTAACACTACTGGATCGCCGATCGTGATCGCGATCTTTATAGATGATGCGGGACCAAGTATTTCTGAATAAATTCGCCAGTAAGTACATGGTTCTGAGGAAGACACGTTAAAAGACAGACGCGAAAACAAACTTTTTTCAATTCTCTCTTCTCAATAAATCTATATGATCTAAATCTAAAATAGATGGTGATAGATGTAGAGTGACTCGTCGATTCGCGCATGTAGGCGCGGTATCGCCATCGTGTTATTCATTCTCACAAGTCACAGGTCACAGGTAACGCGCCGCGCCGCAGTCCGCGCGTCAGGAGATTGATAAACGCCATGTCAGCCATGTGATGTCCACCTCTGATGATTTGAGCGTCCTTGCGAAAGGTGGTCCGGTCCGTCTATCTTTTATCTGA